TTTTTTTTTGCGTGTATTTGCCTTTTTGGTTTATTCCATTTGCAGAACCTTTAGATATCGGAAACTGGTTTCCGAGCCACGTACATGACTCCCCCAAGCTGAATACGTTGGATGAGTTGCAATTGATATTACAATCCAATGCTAATCATTCCATATATAACTCACTGTGGTCATTTTTTGTTGTAGGTTGCAGGATCGTCAAAATCGATGTTGTTTTCTTCAGGTATGCAAGACAATGGGTCCTTTGAAGTTGTTAATATGGTAGAACATTTGTTTCACCTAATAAACCAATTTTTAGCTCATTTCATGTTTAGTTAGCAAATGAAAAAGGAAAAACAAGAAAGATTGAAATTTTATTCGGTGTTTTTGAACCAATAATTTATCCTAAAGTGAATTATTTTTTTGTTATTCTTGAGCATGAAATGTGAATAAGTGAATATTGTTATAAATTATTTATCCTAAAGTGCTTATAATAAGAAAATAAAATTGCTCTCAACCTTTTCTGTACAGATTAAACGAGCCTTTTTCTCTGATGCCAGGTATATTTTTTTTTTTTTTGCTTATATTAATTATAAGATTCAAATATTTTCATAAATAATGAAATAAATATAACATTTGTCTTCCTTTTTTTTTTTGATTGAAAGATACTGTGTTGATTTATTTTTTTTATATGGAAAATGTTAATTAGTTATCTATACTATTATAAAAGAGCCAATGAATCTGTAAAAATATGATATCCCTAAATTAACCTTACTTTGTCATGTTTATAATGTCAATTTTGTAATTTAATACCCCATTCTATACTAATATTTTTAATTAAACACATTCTAGATCTTGGGGTTTATGTATGTTGGTTTGGCCCAATTATCAATGCCGTCTATTTATCAAAATTTCTCCCTTTTGAATATCTTGTCACTCCCCATTTTCACTTTTTGTCTGAAACTTTTACATTTATTTAAATAAGATTTTCAATGATATTAAAATTTGAACAAACTTTTAAAAATTATCAAAATGTTAAATTTTACATTTATTTAAATAAGATTTTCGATGATATTAAAATTTGAACAAACTTTTAAAAATTATCAAAATGTTAAGTTAGTGTACAGAAAAAACAAAATTATGACATTACCTTACCAAATACTCATTTTTTTAAAATTTAGACAAGCAATGTATCTCTGTACCAAAAAAAATAAAAAATAAAAAATAAAAATAAATAAATAAATAAATAACGCGTTCAGTATGATAGATAAGGAAAAAACTAATAAAAAATATTATTGCTTCACATGATCAATTGATTTTCAAGATGAGCGCTCTATAAACAATGATAATTTAAATTTTTGTATATTAAATATTTTATTTATTGACATTATTTTAAGATTTGTAATATTTTTATGGTTTTCTCAATAATTTTAAGAGTTTATTTAACCGTAAGTATATAAGATAAATTTCTTAGCAATATTTATTTAATTTTATAATTTTATTAATAACAATTATGTTAGTATTAAATGTGACATGGAGGCCAAAACTATCGCTAATTATACATAATATGAATCTTTAATATAAATCAATTTTATTTCTTAAGCAAAAAAATAAAAAAAAACAATACAATTTACCAAATAATTGCTTTAATGTTTTTAAATTATATTTTAAGACTATTGAAATCTAAATCATAAAAGAGCCAATGAATCTGTAAAAATATGATATCCCTAAATTAACCTTACTTTGTCATGTTTATAATGTCAATTTTGTAATTTAATACCCCATTCTATACTAATATTTTTAATTAAACACATTCTAGATCTTGGGGTTTATGTATGTTGGTTTGGCCGAATTATCAATGCCGTCTATTTATCAAAATTTCTCCCTTTTGAATATCTTGTCACTCCTCATTTTCACTTTTTGTCTGAAACTTTTACATTTATTTAAATAAGATTTTCAATGATATTAAAATTTGAACAAACTTTTAAAAAAAGAATATTATTGCTTCACATGAGCAATTGATTTTCAAGATGAGCGCTCTATAAACAATGATAATTCAAATTTTTGTATATTAAAAATTTTATTTATTGACATTATTTTAAGATTTGTAAATATTTTTATGATTTTCTCAATAATTTTAAGAGTTTTTTTTACCGTAAGTATATAAGATAAATTTCTTAGAAATATTTATTTAATTTTATAAGTTTATTAATAACAATTATGTTAGTATTAAATGTGACATGGAGGCCAAAACTATCGCTAATTATACATAATATGAATCTTTAATTGAAATCAATTTTATTTCTTAAGCAAAAAATAAAAAAAACAATACAATTTACCAAATAATTGCTTTAATGTTTTTAAATTATCTTTTAAGACTATTGGAATCTAAATCAAATTGTGTACCATATGTTTGTAATGGTTCATGAAATTTATAATAGTATTTGAATGAAAAAAAAAAAATTGAAATTCAACCAAAACTTGAATATTAATATATATTTATAACTCACGAAAATATATAATTAATAAGATCCAATGAAGGAAAAAAAAAAAGCATACAAAAACTATTTTACTGGAAAAGGAGAAGATAATATGAACAAATATATAAAAACTTTGCTAACATATGGCAGTTGACTTATAACTACTATATTTTATTAATAAAAATAATGACAAAGAATGGTCTCTTTCAACAAGATAAGAAGACAAAATTGTAAACTATCATATGCAATTATTCATGTCAAAGGAAAAATAAAAAATAAAAATAAATAAATAAATAAATAAATAACGCGTTCAGTATGATAGATAAGGAAAAAACTAAATAAAAATATTATTGCTTCACATGATCAATTGATTTTCCAGATGAGCGCTCTATAAACAATGATAATTCAAATTTTTGTATATTAAATATTTTATTTATTGACATTATTTTAAGATTTGTAAATATTTTTATGATTTTCTCAATAATTTTAAGAGTTTATTTAACCGTAAGTATGTAAGATAAATTTCTTAGCAATATTTATTTAATTTTATAAGTTTATTAATAACAATTATGTTAGTATTAAATGTGACATGGAGGCCAAAACTATCGCTAATTATACATAATATGAATCTTTAATATAAATCAATTTTATTTCTTAAGCAAAAAAATAAAAAAAACAATACAATTTACCAAATAATTGCTTTAATGTTTTTAAATTATATTTTAAGACTATTGAAATCTAAATCAAATTGTGTACCATATGTTTGTAATGGTTCATGAAAAATATAATAGTATTTGAATGAAAAAAAAAATTGAAATTCAACCAAAACTTGAATATTAATATATATTTATAACTCACGAAAATATATAATTAATAAGATCCAATGAAGAAAAAAAAGCATACAAAAACTATTTTACTGGAAAAGGAGAAGATAATATGAACAAATATATAAAAACTTTGCTAACATATGGCAGTTGACTTATAACTGCTATATTTTATCAATAAAAATAATGACAAAAAATGGTCTCTTTCAACAAGATAAGAAGACAAAATTGTAAACTATCATATGCAATTATTCATGTCAAAGATTTTAATTTACTTTTAATGTTCATATTTGTCAATCTTCCCCAAACAAAAAAGATTTCGAATAAACAAGACTAACTTAGATAATGAAGGATTCTCAACCAATATTTTCATGCAATCTTTTTCACTATTACTTTTAAATATTTATTTTTTCAACTTTCAATATATTTGACACTGTCCATTATGTAATGTACTTCTTGTGATTGATTAATTGAAAATAACTATTCCAAAAAATTAGAATAGATCATAAAAATATAAAAGACAAACTATAACTTATATAAGTAAGAAAATTGAAATCGATAATATTTTTCCTCATAATGCCCATAAAGTATGGAAACATTTTTTGTTTTTCAAAATAACCTATAAAAAAGAATAAATTGTGTAGTAGTATGAGAACGGTTGAATTGTTATTTTGAAGCCTAAACTTCTAATATACTAAATTTCCTTTCTTAAATAAGATTAGAACAATTTTATGAATTTGTATAAAATTAAAACCCATACTATTTATTTTCATGTCGAATGGAATACCACTTGAGCAACATGATTTAATTTAGATCATATGATTATCTATAAATTAATTAAAAATATATGGATAATCATGATATGCCTATATACTTTGAAAATTAATTAAATTTTAACAATAAATAATCTCGCTATATTACCATTACTCATCTATCTATTTATTTGTATTATTCACACAAAGCAATTTCTTATAAAAAAAAATCATTAAAATTTCGCTGTAACATGTTTCATTGGAATTTTATCATTTGTTTACAGTAAAAGTGACTTCAAATTAAATTAAACAATTTCGCACTATATATAATATTGTGTGCAGTTAACTATTTTGAAAATTATTGCCAGTGATACAAAATATAACATATTCATTGTATTTATGATTTAACTTAT